GGCCGCTCAGCCCCTGTCGAGGCTTTTACCGCAGCCTGAGCTCATCATGAAGGTAAAACACTCGCTTGTGCGCCTGGGAGGGGAACGAAGGGAGGGTTGCGTGAAGAAATGCTGTCCTATCCGTCAGTCCATCTGTCCCGATCCCGGTGTGAGGCTCGGTGCTGGTGCAGATCCAGACTGAGGGCTGCTTTGCCCCCATTGCTGTGTTTTGGGTGCCTTAGCTCGTTTGCTGACGGTGGGGCAGGCTTTGCTCTGCCTAGTTGTACTGGGGGAAACTGCAAGTTCGCTGAGCGGGGGTTGTTCTCCTTCAGAAACATTGTTTGTAGGAGAATAAGGACATGGCTGCCTGGGCTGAGCTTGCTTCATGGAGGAGCAGGGGACAGTCACCCTGCTTGAGAAAGTAACGTTGCAGGGGAAATGCTGGCGATACAACTGTGTTCACTTGAAGAGAGAGTAAATGATAGATTTACTTACTTTATGTTCGTTAAGTGGAGTTTTGTTGAATGAATGGTCTTGATATGATCAGGGAGGGAGCATGTAAGAGATTCTCTGCAGTGAAATGATTGCTGTAAGGTGCAGAAAGATTTTCAAACAGATTCTAATTTTTCTCTTAGTGCTGTGTAGTATTCACATACCTCATTGTCATTAATTTTTATTCTCTTAGGACTTTCTAAACTGTTTATTTTCAATATATTATGCAAGTTTCTAGGAAAAAAAATCATATTGGCGAAATAAAATGTTTTCTTCTGTGTGTGCCAAGTATTTGTGTACCTAAAAGTAGTTTTTAACAACTGGGATTGTTAGGTTTTTTTTTTAATTTTGCTGATGACACCTCACTCAAGCTGCTGTTTATATTACCATGACCCCCATGTAATTCAGCTCCCGGTCCTGCTGGGCTGCAGTAAATCTTATTTTAAAATACTGTAAATCTTACAAAAAATAATTGTTATAAACATGTATAAATAATCTCTTTTGTTTTTGTTAAAAAAGAGCTGTCTGTGTGTGGGGTCTTGTACTATCAGAGTTGTGTCTACTGTCTATGTAAAATGTGTACCTAGTACTATATTTATTGCTGAAAATGGTAAATGATACAGATTATTTTTATTTCTAGATTGATCTGAGTTGCTGAGCAGCAAACTTAAGTTTTTGTGTAACTGTTAAAAGGTTTAGCATGGTTTTTTTACTTTGGTGACTTAATGACAGTATCTTTTAAAAAAATCATGTTTTTATTGCACTCTCTATGATCTTTCTTTAACAAGTGCTGAGATCTGAAATACTTCTTTCTCAATAAAAGTAAACTGTGAATTTACAACAACAGGCTGTTGAAGTAGTATGATACAGAGCTTTGTGAATGTGGCTCATTGCCTGGTGGTGTTGCAGGGGATGGAAGCAAGAGAAATAGGAGGCAGTATAGGGATCTTTTTTCCCCAGAAGGAAAAACACCTATTTAAATGACAGCTAAATTTACATACATTTCTAATATTCTTTTCCCATGTAAACAAATCTTACCGTTACCATAGAGATTAGGTTCTGATACTGTGGTTATAGAGCTGTATAAATATGTAGATAGACGAGAGGATGAGGAGGTCTGATCACAAGTGGAATGTAAAGTGTTCTGTGAGATAGTGATAGACACCCACTTCAGGCTGATCTGAACATATAACATCTAACTTACTTTAAATGCTTAAATTTAAAGTAGCAAACACAGAAACCTGTTAATAGCGCCATATTAAAAAAAAAAAGCTTCCAGCTTACTTATTCTTTGATAAGGCTTGCATTTTAATTTTTTTTTTCAATTTGGATCAATTATACCGGGGTGTTTAAATGCTAAGTTTAAGTCTGCAGGTTTTGCAGTTTGTGTGGGAATAGCATTAAAATTATATATGCTTGAGATAATTCCTAGTACTTTATTTACTGTGCCCTGTAATGTTGTGACGTTAATCTGTAAGTCATTACATTGAAGATTTAATTATTACAGTGAAACTTTTAACAGAATTGTGTCTCAACAGAAATTTCTAAGGTTCAACAGTCTAACCAGGACTGGTTGGTTTTTTTTAAAGAGTGTAGGAGTAATACAGTGCATCAGTCTTTCTGCATGGCTTAAATTCGTAATTTATTTTCTGAGTGTACAAGGATACAAGTTAGTCCAGTAAGAGGAGAGTGCTTAAGAGAAATACTAGCTTTCTGTTGGTATCACCACAAGGTAACATTGACTATACTAGATCAAGATACTGTTTAAATATTACTATGTATTTGTGTGCCTTTATTATGTAAGTTATTGAAAGACTACACCTCAAGGACACTTTGGCATATAGAGGATTTAATGCTTTAAGGCCTAGTCTTACTTTGAGTTTGCTGACTGCAGACTTGCTGCTGACTGCATGATTGAGGCCTCTGTTTTGATTTATGCCTTGATCACTCTTTCAGGTGCAGAGGCTTGTGTATTCCAGTGCATAGAGCATTAGAGCTGGATGCTTTGTCGATATCTTTGTCTCTTTGGGTGAACTTGATCAACTCATTTAGTTTTACTGACTCATTTTTCTCATCTGTGTAGTATGGATAGAACGTTTATTATTCTGTGTAAAACACAGTGAGGTCTATTTAGGAGGAGCGCCAAGTTGCATTGATAGAAAGCAAGTCACTCATGCTCTTGCATTTCAGAACCCTCTGAGACAAGAGAGGTGCGCTGCCTGCTACAAGATTACCACCTCCAAATCTGCCAGTGTAATTGCTCTCCCTACAGTAACCCAACTTAATCCAAGTATATGAACCCCCTTGTATATACTAGTCACTTTAGCATATTAAGTAGTCCTCCTGTTGACTGCAAAGACCACTTGAAGGCAGTCTTGAAATATGTCTTAGAAGTAGTATTCCAGTCTTGACATAATTGTGCACGTTATTGTGGTGTTATACTAAATCAGGCTTTTTTCCTGTGTTGAATGACCTCTGATAGTAGTTAAAACAGTTGTATAGATATCGGCTAGGATGATTCATCTGTTATAGTGAAGCTTTTTTGTTTGTTTGTTTTAACTTCAGCACCTTCTGGATAAGGTTTTTTCACATTAAGTATGCTTCAGAAGTGTGTAGATTCTGTTTGATTATTTAAAAACTAATTGCATGCTATCAAATTACTACCTGCTAAGTAGGTAGCAATATATATAAAAACATTATTATGGTTTGTTTTTATTTTTTTCCTCAAAATCAGGAAATAATCTCAAGGAAAGCGATCTTTGCTTTTAAAGAAAGAAATAAACACAAGCTCAGTTTCACCAATGATTTGTACTAAGAAAAACTGTAAATGCTCCTGAGATTTTTAATATGTATCGTGGCATTTGCTTGATATTTAAATATGTGAATGAGGGTAATATACCCACTGTAGTTAAAAAGTTCACTGCTGACTGGAGATAAAATTAGTGGATGTCCCACAAGCTGGAGCAATACGCTATGAATTAAGTGATCTGAAATGATTGTTTAAATGTCTTGATGCTATTTGCATGTTAATGTTTTTCAGTCTGTAAAATATGGAATATTTAATGTTTGTAGGTACTTCTGTTTGGTAGCCCTAGATGTTCCTGAGTGCCTACTCAAAGCTGTCACAGTAGCAAATTAAGGAAGCCATGTGTACAGGTTTTTTTTTTTTTAATTAGTCCTGAATTTACATTTTGGGTTCATTAGTCCTTGTTAGTGACCTGTCCAGCTATCCACAGAGATCACTGGTGCACACTGATACCATAACTACTTTCCCTTAAAGCCAGTCAGCCTATTGCTGGTGTTCTCTGCCAGTACGGCAGGGGACAAAAGTGAAATATCCAGCAAACTTTTCAGTCACTAATTTCCAACTTTGAGCACAAGTCAGCTGAAAGTCCTATTGCTCTTATGCAGGCTGGAAACCAGTCATGGAATGTAGTGACCTTTCACTTTCTGATTAACTATTTGAATTACAGCAGAAATGAAGATTTATAAAGGAAGAGTACCATTAGAGTAGTTTATGTGCTTGAGGTAGGAGAACAGGTAAGTTTTAAGAGGTAGTTTTCTCCTGCAATTTGCTTTTTGCATTTTAAAAAAAATGTTTTTCTTAAATTCTGTCCTGATGTTCCAGTCTGAACAAGTGATCAGAGGCAGTTACTGACTTCCTCATGCTTGCATAATTATGTAGAAAGGAAAGCAAACATCACTTGCACCGAGCAATTACAAGTCCTGTTGGAATAATCTATGTAATTTTGAAACTGGTTATTTGCACTTTTGAAATGCCAATCTTAGTATATTTTAGAGTGGCTAAACAACATGGAAGTCTTGAACTCAAATCCACATGTTTAGTATGTGACTGTTCAGTAGTTGAGTGTGTTGATAAGGACTCAAAGTTAATTAGACCACCTAGTGGAACAAAGGCTGCGTTAAACTGAGAAGACTAAAGTTGTAATAAACTACGGGCATTAGAAAAGTTATGTTGCCTGTATTTATTATCTTTAAAGTTGGTGAAGGAGTTTTGAATCAATACTCTTACAGCAGCATAACTGTTGTAACAGGATACTGTCTAAGAAAAATGTTTGTAGACCTAATGAATATGCATATCTTCACTAGAACATTTTGAGATGGTTATTCAGTTCACTTTGTAATCTGAAGCAAGTATGGTAGGTACTGCAGGTCATGCAGAAGCATGCTGTGATGCACATTCCGTGCCTGTTTCCAAAGAAGCTCTGCATTATAGTTGAAAAGTCTTTCAAAACAAAATGCAATGCTTTCACGGCATTAAGCTTTACAATCACTGTCGAATACTTAATCTGAATGCTTTGCTGGTCATGAGAAAGGTGGGAATGATACTGTTGTCAGAAATTGGTTTCAAATGTTTAAATCCTACAGACAGATACTTTCTCATTAGAAATATATGCTTTTATAATAGCCTGAAGATTAAAATAAAGGCAGTTTGAGATTTCCTCATTTGCAAACATATTTACAGAAAAACCTAGAGCTTAAATTCACTTGGCACCCTAATGCGATACAGAGCTATCCAAATGCTAGATTATTTAATGCAATAGTAGGTTCTCTGCAGTT